GGGGTTGATTAATGATTGTGCATTGAGTCCCCTATACAGAATTTTATTGTTGTTAACAACCATTTGATCAATAAATATGAGAGATGCCCTCTCAAAAAAAAAAAAAAAGAATACACGGGGTGAGTGCTGATGCTGAGAAAACTGGGAGCACATGATGAGGGTATGGCGTGGCCTGAGAGATCAGGGAGGGTGTCCCTGAGAAAGAAACCCTTGAGTGAAGGTGAGTACGAGTGAGCTAGGAGAGGAGCGTCCTGGAGGAGGAACAGACGGCATGTGCAAATGAGGTGGGAATGTGACTGTAAGGGCAGTGGCTAATGGGCAGCAGGCTGGGTCAAGCAAAGCACGTTGGTGGTGAAAAACAGTTATTACCCCCCAAGGTTGTTGTGAGGCTTAAAACAGCTAACGTGGTAAAGCTGCTATGGGTCCGGCACACAGTGGAACATCTTCCTGATGTCGTTGTCACTGTGCATGTCCCCTGACTTCCCCTTGGACTGTATGGATGACTTGAGTTCTCAGCCTTTTTACTATCACTCCCTCTGTCTGCAGAGCCCCCACTAAGTGGACCTGTGCTAAGTGGGGCTGAGGAGAGGGTGCACAAAAGTTGGAGGAACACAGTTTCTTCCCTCAAGGACCCTCCAGGGCTCCAGGCAAGATCCCCGTTGCTTTGCCTGCCCCGTCATATTTAATCTTATATCCTTTTATGAGGTAGGTACTAATTTTTAGATCATTGTACAACTGAGAAAATTGAAGCTTGGAGAGGGTGAGCATCTTGGGCCACAGTCACAGAGCTAAACAAGCAGGAGGTGAAGTGGGGATCGTCCTGCAGGAGAGGGAACGAAATGGGCAACAGGTTCAGGGCTCCCTCTGTGCTTCCTGAGTTCCTTTCTGCCTTCCTGCTCACCTTGTCTCTTTCCTTGTTCAGTCTGACTCAATTCCCCCCATGTTCCCCACACCAAGAACAGTAAGCTTCAATAAATACATATGGGCGAATGAATGAGCGAGTGAGTGAATGAACAGTGCTAGCCCAAGGCCTTCCCTGCCTTGTCTTTCTCTGTCTCTGACTCCTCTATGTACCTTTTTGTTTTTATGTCTCTGTGTCTCTTTTCACCCTTTCTCCCAAGCCAAGTCACCCCAAATTCATCAGAGTTCCTCACTGGAAAGAGGCTTCCTTTCCCAGATCTGGCCCTGCAGCTGATGGTGCCACACAGGGAAGCCACATCAGCTAAGCGCTGGCCCAGCAAAGGGCAAAGGAAGAGTTGCTGGTACGGGTCCTGTGTCTGCCTGAGGCCAGGCCATCACCGGGGAACCCCTGGCATCCTTTTGTCCCCTTTGCAGCAGCACCCAAGCTCAGTGAGGTGAGCCAGGCCAGGGCACTGGGACCCCCAGCCTCCTGGACTTCAGGCCTCCTGAGCCTTTCTCCTCCGACACCAGCCTGTAGGGCTGGTTGGCTACACTACCCATACCGGGTCATCCGTGGCCTTGGGAAAGAGCCATTCACCTGGTCAGGTAACCTTGGGGAGATATGCCACGTTTAGCCTGTAAAGATCCCTGGACACAACTGAGGTCCTTTCACAATAAAAAGAGCCCCCAGAACTAACGGGGACCCAGAATTTCAAGGCCGACCCATCCCATAAAGCAAAAACCTTGGAGTCGGCAAGGAAAAACTACACATGCTGGTTCTGTGGGACTTTCAGTTTCATCCCATCCCTGAGAGAGAGCAAAACAACAATGAGTCACAAGCCTGATCAGAAACCGAGGGCCTGAGCCGCAGGCTGGGCTCTCGGCCACTTTTAGTCAGTTTGAACTAGAGCAGGCCGCTGTCCCAGAACGAGGGGTCGGAGGACACCTCTCCCTGGCAGCATTCTGAGAGGACGAGAGAGGTCGCCAGTTGGGAGGGAGGCCAAGCCATGTGATGTGCCTACGGCCCACCCCCAGCCTCTGAGCGGTAACTCCTCCTGCTTCCACTAGACTGTGCTATGGAGTCACTTTCCTGGTTGCCTGTCGTTTAGATCTGGGCTGGCAGTGGGGGAAGCAGTCTTGCCAGTATCAGGGGCCTGGCACAAATCTTTAGCTGGGTTCTTGTGGTTCCAGCCCCTGGTCGGCAGCAGGACGCGATGCGTTGGCTCCAGTCTTCCCAGTGGGGTAAGTTGGCGGGGGGACCCCAGAGGGGAGTGGACTCCATGTGGGATTCTGGAACAGCTGCCCTGTCGGCTCTTTCCCTCTGGGGCCCAGGCATGCAGGGTAGGACCACCTCAAAGCCTGCTGCTGATTTCCCCCCAACCCACTTCTGCTCCTGCTTTTAGCCAGGTGACCTCCAGCTGCCATCTTCACCATCAAGCAAGCCCACTTTCTGTGGGTTCCCTGCAAACATTAACAGTAGCCACTCAAGAGGAGGGGAAGCTTGCCCCACCACACCCAAGTCTAAGAAATCTCACACTGCTATATTCCTCTAAAGCAGAACTCCTTTGGGGGTGGAAACTCTAATCTAACACTGATGCCGGGGTTCTTGTTTGCAGAGTCAAAGAATGAACTTAGCAAACACTCAAGGTAGGAGAGCCAGGGAGAGGCTTTTATTTAGAGATAAAGTGAGAGGAAAGAGCTCCTGGCTGGTGCCAGGAGGGCACAAGAAAGCCTGTAGCTGTGCATTGTCTAGGGGTTTTATAGGCACTTGGGAATGTGATAAAGGGCTTAGGGGTGTGGACTTGTTAGGTGGTCCCTGAATATTGAAAATTAACTTAACACAAGAAATTTACTGCTCTGATTTCTCCCTGAGATACTGGCATCTTGGTCTGGGAGCATATCAAAAAAGACTACCTGCCCAGTCCCCAAGGTGGGGTGAGCTATTGTCTATTTGCTAAAGAGTAAGTTAAGAATCTTACTTCTTAACTTCCTGGGTATTAAATGCAATCTTTTTAAGATGGAATCCTTCCTGCCTTTTACTGTGCTGTGTATGGCTGGGTTTGCTTGCCATTATTAATTGCCCAGATTGCAAATCACCTCATCAGGTCTGAAGGAGGAAAGACAGCACATAGGCCTGGGCCTTTTACCATGCTAAAGTGAATCTTACATATTGTTACAAATGATTAGCATAATAAAAACATGTGCTACTCTTCTTTATCTGGGGAACATTAACTGATCTCACTGAAGAATGACTCTAGAGCTTAATGTTTAGCACAGAGTTTTGGTAGGGGGTTTTCTTGCATGTAGTTACATTGCTCTGACTGTAAATATCCTTGCTTTTTCTGGAGGCCTTCACTCTACTCTGACTACACCCACAGTCCCTGTCCACCACCTCCAAGACAATGCTATCTGGGTATTCTTCTGTAGTCCAGAACGTTCTAGACTTCAGTCCTCACTGGTGACTACTGCTGTTTTGCTCCCTGTCCAGTCCCATGTGGCCCCCTGAATGTGGACCACTCCCCAGATACCAGGCCACACTTGAGTTCATTGCCCAGCTGGAAACACTGGTCCCTAGAGTCCAGCACCCCTAGGGTTATCATGCCACCCCTCCCCTCCAGGGTCCTACCACTTTTAGGTCCACAAAACCATCCCTTCCCAGTCTCCAAGGTAGCTTCTTCAAACCTTCCTCCTCCCTGAGATGTCCCTCATACCTCCAAAACTCTACCCACTCACCTCGAGGTCCATGGTCACAGGAACTAATACAGAACAGAGCCAGGGCTAGAAACCAGTCTGTTCCCAAAGCCTCAAAAAATGCCCTTGTCATAGGTGGAGAGTCACCACGCACTAGACGTAGCTCACCAGTAGCGTTCACACAGCTGTGCTCTGAGCCTACACTGTTCCAGGCACTGTGCTAGTCACCTTACATGCGTTCTTACAGAAAATCCTTGCAACAAGCCCACAAGGTAGATACTGTCAGTATGCCCACTTTACAGATGTGGAAACTGAGGCTTGGAGAGGGTAATCTGCTTGACCCATGTCAACTGAGAGCAGGCACATTCAGACCCAGCCCTAGAGGCAAGAGCAGGTAGGGTGAAAGGAGACAAAGCTCTCAGTAAAGCGTGAGTTCTTACTGGGCTTGTGGACCTCCCTTGATGAGCTTTGGGGGATCCATGAACTTCATGAATCAAGTGCAAATGCGTGTGTGCTTATTGGGGGTTGGGAAGAAAAGATCTTTAGCTTTAGATGTATTCTCATTGAAATCCCTGATGACAAAAACATTAAGAATCTTAACCTAGCACAGTGCCTGGCACACAAAAAGCACTCAATATACCTGATGAATGAATGAACAAACTAATGAATAAATGAGTAAATGAATGAGTGAGTGAGTGACTGAATGAATGTTCCCCCATGCCCTAGGAGACACCACAAATGACCTTGTACACACATCTATCTGTGTCTTTAGAGATGATGAAAGGCATCCCGGAACCTGAGCCCAGTCCACCCCCAGGCCCTTTCTCCCAGTCCCAGAGGGCACAGCCAGGTCTATGAGCTCCAAAGAGATGCTTCTTACCACCTCCACTCCTGACAATGACCAGGCAGAGGCGGGAGTTGTGCAACTCAGATAATGAAGCTTTATTGATTGCCAGGAGACAGCAAGGGTGAGGCAGGATTCAGGTATGGTGTACTTGTGGGGCAGGAGAGAGGATCCCCCAGGGAGACCTGTGTCCACACTGGGGGCCTCCTAAGCCTGAGCAATGTTGAGCCGCCTTAGTTCTTGGTGCGAAGGACCTGCTCGTGGGTGGACACCACCTTGCCATCATGCACATCCATGACCTTGGTGCGGATCTGGCGAGTGGTGGAGGTCACTGGGGAAGAGGGGAAAGAGGACGTTACCAGTGGAGGACAGGCAATGGAGAAATCAGGAGTGGGGAGGCCAAGGAGTTGAGAGGACGTAGATGGACCCTCTCTGTGCTGCCCTCTCCACTGATTATCACTCCTCTCACTGCTCTTGCCCCAGGACTGTTACCATCAGCACCTTTCTTTTATGTAAGGCTCCCTGGTCAGAGGCACACTCCATGTCCTCAGAGTTCTTAGGTGGCTCCCAAGGGCTCAGACCAGATGGTTCAGTTCCAGACTGACCCAAATGGACTCATCTTGGCAGGAAGAGCCATGGGGGGGTCCTGTCCATGGTGCTGACCACCTGAGCCATGGGGCTGCCACAAACACTGGTTGGCAGAAGTAAAAAGTGGGGGTCACCAGTTCCTAGCCCTAAGAAGGGAAGGCTCTGGGTTAAGCCCCTGTCCAACTCCCTAGACCTGTTGGAAGACAAGGAGTGGTCCTGGGTCCAGGCTTGACGAGGAGGAAGGTCTTACCATCTCTGGATGACTGAGAGCCAGAGGAGAACTGGGAGGAGGAGAGGCTGTGAAGACAGAAAGGGCAAGATGCTTAGACACAGGAAGGCAGTGAGTGAATAGCGGGGGATGGACTGGGAGGGTGGGCAGGGTACTCACTGGGCGTCCTCCCCCTCCAGCAGGCGGCGGTAGGTGGCGATCTCCTGTTCCAGCCGCGTCTTCACGTCCAGCAGGATCTTGTATTCCTGGTTCTGCTGCTCCATCTCGCAGCGCAGCTGGGCCAGCTGCTCCTCCACATTGCTGATCAGATCCTGGATCTGGGCCAACTGCATGCAGTAGCGGCCTTTGGTCTCCTCCAGGCTATTCTCCAGGGATGCTTTCTGTGAGGGAGGGAAAGAAGATTGGAGATCAGTGAAGGTAGTCACTCCCTCAGAGCCCTGGTCCACCCCAGGCCTGGCAGTGCCCCTACCATGCTAAGCTGGGACTGCAACTCAATCTCCAGGTTCTGCATGGTGCGCCGGAGCTCAGAGATCTCACTCTTGCCGCTCTGCACCAGCTCGCTGTTGGTGGCCACCTCACGGTTCAGCTCCTCTGTCTGCAGAAAAGAAAACATCGTTCATACCAGAAGTTCCCAGGAGGCCATTGTTCTGGGTCCCTTTCACCCTGAACAATACCCACCTTGGTGAAGAACCATTCCTCGGCATCCTTGCGGTTCTTTTCCGCTATCTTCTCGTACTGGTCGCGCATCTCGTTCAGGATGCGGCTCAGGTCCACTCCAGGGGCGGCATCCATCTCCACATTGATATCTCCACCCACCTGGCCTCTTAGGGCGTTCATCTCCTGGACAACAGAAAAACAGCCCACATCCAGCTGCCTCACTGAGGCAGCCCACTGGGGTTCCCTAGTCAGGGTGTTCTTGGCCTGCGCATTGCCCCCCAGCATCTCAACACTCTCTCTTCCCTCCGGCTAACCTTCCGAGCCGGCTTTTCCACTCAGCTCTCACCTCCTCGTGGTTCTTCCTCAGGTAGGCCAGCTCCTCCTTGAGGCTCTCAATCTGCATCTCCAGGTCGGCTCTGGCCAGGGTCAGCTCATCCAGCACCCTGCGCAGGCCATTGGTGTCAGCCTCCACGCTCATGCGCAGGTTCAGCTCCGTCTCGTACCTGGAATGACCCAAGAGGAAAGGAATAAGACACCCATCCTGGCCACCCTGCTGGCTTTGCTCTCTTCACCCTGCAACTCCTTCCCATGGCTGGTACCCTGTGGGGAGTTAGGGAACCCATCTTGAAAATGGCATGGCTGGACACAGCACTCATTGACGGCTTAGATCTGAACATTCCTCAGGGGGCAGTTGATCATGCTGCAGAATTCAGGGTAGGGAGATGCTTCTGGCTTCAGCGAAACAGTAGCACACAAGGCTTCCAAATATGACTACCTCCTGCCCTTCAGGGCAGCTGGGGAAGTGGGGAGTGCCTCTCCCTAAAGCAGTGGCTCCCAAACCTGGCCATGGGTCAGAATCACCCTGTTAAAAATAACTGAATCAGAAGTCCAAGTGTGGGGCCAAGAATCTTGTATTTTACAAGCACCCCAAGGGGTTTCCATGCAGCCATCCTGGCATTCATCAGCTCTGTGTAGGGAACACTGCTCCAAAAATGCCCCATCCTGGGGAGACTGGACATTCTGGGCCAGCACTACAAACTCACTTGGTGCGGAAGTCATCGGCAGCAAGGCGGGCATTGTCAATCTGCAGAAGGACATTAGCATTGTCCACGGTGGCTGTGAGGATCTGCAGATGCAAAGGGCATGGGTCATTGGTCAAATGGACATCACTAGCCAGACTTCAGTGCTGCCTGTATTAGGCCTTGGCCTTCATGCTTCTTCTTGGGGGTCCCCTTCTCCCCACAAGCCTTCACCACCACAGCTTAAAGAATAACCCCCAGCAGTTCAGCTTTGACCTGGGACTTTGCTGACTTGTGGTCAGTGGAATGGGCAGGAAGAGCCCCAGCCTTAGAATGGAGAGCCCTTGAGTTTCAGTCCTGCCAAAAATGACTTGCTGTAAAACCTGACACGGGTCTCAGGGCCTCAGGGTCACACAAGGAGAATGACCTAAGATTCTCAGACCCTCTTTCTGAGATTCTCCTCTCTCTGCCCAAGCCAGTCCTGCCAGTCCTCTGCAGAGACACACATTCCTTTTCAAGCCCACAGAGCATGGGACCACAGGTGGGGTTTCCCCAAAAGATGAGACCCGGCTGACACAGGGGATCAAAAAAGAAGACACAGAAGGAAATGGAGACAGACTGAACCCTGGATTGACTGGACTTTCCTCCCTCATCACCTAGTTTCCCAAACCCAGAGCCAGACACCAAGAGAAGTAGGCTTAGAGCAGGCAGGGCTCCCAGGTAATGTGGGAGCAGGAAGCAGGGCGCTGGGGTCCATGGCACAAGCCCCCCTGGCTCCCTTGTATACAGGGCATGGAAGGTGGGCTGCCACAGATGTCTCCAGGGGTTTTCCACAGCTGCCAGGCTGTGGGGAGGGGCCGCTGGTGCCAGGGCTCATGGGCGGCAGCTGCCACAACCCAGACTAATGAGCTAATGAGCGGTTTGACTGGCGAGCCTGGTCCCGTTACAGCCTTGCCCCTCCCCTGTGCTAGAGAACAGGTAGCTGCCTCCTGGGCTGGCAGGTGGGGCACAAGTGTTCTAGTCTCAGCTCTGCCATTAATTTGTGATGTGGCCTTGGGCAGGACACAGCACCCCTCAGAGCTTCAACTTCCTCCTCTGTAAAATATAAGGGCAGGGATCCCTGGTCTCCCATGGTCTGAGGTGTGGAGCCCAGAAGAGCATGAGCAACGAGGAGAAGGGAGACCGTCTTCACAGGGACCAGCACTGCTGGGAACATTCAGAGCCCAAGGAAGGCATCTGGGATTAGAGGCCATCCTATCTAGGAACCGAAAGATGCCAGGGGCTCCCAGAGCAAGGCAGTTGGAATGGTGCCACCAGCTGCCCGGTGCACACACCTTGTTTCGCAGATCCTCAATGGTCTTGAAGTAGGGGCTGTAGTCCTTGGTCTCAGCGGGCCGCTGCCTCTGGTACCAGTCGCGAATCTTCACCTCCAGGTCAGCGTTGGCCTCCTCCAGGGCACGCACCTTGTCCAGGTAGGAGGCCAGGCGGTCGTTGAGGTTCTGCATGGTCACCTTCTCACTGCCCACCAGGAGCCCATCACCGCCACCCAAGCCAGCACCAAAGCCAGCACCGAAGCCAGCACCCAGGCCACCACCCAGGCTAGCACTCAGGCCAGCGCCATATCCTCCACCAAAACCACTATTCAGGGCCCCACCAAAGCTGCTGCTGCTGTAGCTGCCACCATAGCCAGCCCCCAGCCCGCAGGCGCCCCCGGAGGAGTAGCGGGAGGAGACCGACAGACCCCCGTAGGCGCTGGGGGCCCGGCAGGACCCTCCAGCCAGGACAGAGGACATGCGGCTGGAGCCCCCGCCAATGCCACAGGAGCCCTTCATGGAGCTGGAGGAGGTGAACTGGCGGCTGCAGGTAGTCATGGTGCCAAGGAGGGAGGCGAGCGAGCGAGTGGGTCGGCAGAGAGAAGAGAAAGGTGCTCCTGTAAATTGGAAAAGGACGCAAGTGTTTTATACTCCTGAGTAGGGGGCGTGCCCGGCATTTTCCATTCCCCTTGGCTTTCATCACCCACAGGCCAGCGCCAACTCCCAGACAGAGCCCTCCCCTCCTCCGCCTCATCTTGTCTGTCATATTTTACTGGAAACTCATTGTTTGGGGTGTTTTTGGTTTCTTGTCCTGCCAGGAGTGATTCACATGAGGAGGTGTAGGCCTGCAGGCTACACTTTCCCACTGGGCCCTGGGAGCCACGGACCTCAGGAGCCCACACGCTGGGCTCAGCCAAGTGGCAAGGAGAAACGCCCTCTGCCCCATAAACCCAGTGACCAGTTAATTCCCCATTAGCCTGGTGGGCCTTTGACATCCACTTAGAGGAAGCCCAACTCTCCACCTGGCACCTGACTAGAGAAACACCAGCATGGCAAGGTCATGGCAGCACAGAGATGCCCCCTTTTACTACCATCAGTGAAAGAGACAAGAAGGTGATGGGGTCCTCCTAGGTCTGACCTGCTAGGCTGTGCTAAGGAGCCTGTCACATCCCTGAAACATGCCCAGCCAGTCAGGGGACTCAGGACAGGCCTGCGGCTGCGGCTGCTCAGTGTGTCCAAGGGCAGGTGAGTTCACAGGCAGAGACATGGGGAAAGAGCATGGAGTCACATTGAGTGCTGTGTGACCCAGGGCCTGATACTTGTCTGAGCCTCTGTTTGCACACCTGTAAGGTGGGAGTGCATACCCTCTGCCCTGCATACTGCAGAGTCAGCCCTGAGGGGGTGGCAGTGTACAAAAGGCTTTGTAAGCCAAGTGTGGCATAAAGTCTAGTTTGCATTGTTGTAGCCTAGTCTGGGCCCCAAAAGGGATGGAGCGACACCCCTGGAATAGGACTAAAGGGGCATTTTTGCTTCCAGCCCCCCTGTGTCTCCTCAGGCCCTCATGGCAGCCCCAGAGAAAGGGACAGGCTCAGCCATCTTATTTGAGCTGCTTATGGGGCTGGCCCCAAGGATGGGGTATTTTTTTTGGAGTGGTGGGGGAAGGGTAGTCACCTGGGGTGGACTCCAGGGTCCCCAACTCCTGAGGCCCTGAGGGTCAGGGGATACTTCCAGGTTCTATTTGGCTCTGGCTTGGGGGTTTGTATATCCACACTTTAGCTATCTCATGTCTCCCAGACAACTTTCAGAAGCACCCCCTCCAGCCATAACCTCCCTCCCACTAGCCCCTCAGCTACACGGACCCTGGCAGGCATGTTGGGAGGAATGTGGTCATGTCTGGGGCTGCCTAACACGTCCCATCCTCCCAGACAGGCCCCAACAACCCCCGCTGGAGGCTCCAACGCTCTTCCTAGAATCAACTGCTCCCAGAGGGGAAGGGAAGCCTCCCTCTCCCCCGACCCTGACTGCCTCCAAAGCAGAAGCCCAGAGCCACCACCCTGCACTGGGGCTTAGGAGCTCAGAAATGCTGAGACAGACACTTGAGCCTCCCCGAATCTGCCCCGCAAAGATCTCTGGAGGATGTGAGTAAGAGGGCCCTGCCCCGCCCCACCCACCCTGACAGACAGTCCCAGTCGCCCTCCAGAGGATGGTCACCGATCCCCGCCTAGCCCTACAGCTGCCGTATGAGAGGCACCAGGGATTTTGGTGGAGAGACAGATGCTTTTGTTAGAAGGCAAGTTGCTGTCTGCTGCCGAACAGGGCTTGGGGAAGGCGGGGTTATGCTCCCCAGAGGAAATGCGGCATCCAGAGGGACCCAGAGAGCAGGAATGGGCGCAGAGCCCACCTCCAGCTTCCTCTGTGCTGCTGTCCTGTCTCCCTCCACTGCAGGAACCACAGATAAAATCCCTGGAGCACAGGGCACAGGAAAAGTTCTACTGCCCCCTGCCCCCCGCCCCCCTGCCACCTGATTCAGTGAAACCCCAAACAGGCTCCTCCTTGTCTCTCTCCAAAGGGAATCCAAAAGATCAAGAAGGTAGGGAACCAAGGACATATAGACTCCTGCACACAATTTACGAAGAGACCTTTGCCAGCCCTCCCTACCCGATGGACCCCATGGAAGCACCGCACGAAATACAAGTCTGTTCTGCCTGGCCTGGCTCAGATCCTGAGGCCAACCCCCTCCCCCCAGCGACGTGGAACTAGGCACACGTCGCCCAGCCTGGTGCTCATGACATTTTGAAGACAGGCAGCTTTCTGGGGCAGCAGCAGTTAATGGGATGGGGTGAGTCTTTTGGGTTCTGGAGTACCCCCCACCTCTGGACTCCTAGGCAGGCTTTGTGTGGGCACCACTGCCTGACCTAGCTCCAGCCGCCCCAGGCACGAGGAGTACAGGAGGAGCCTGGAGCGGGTCCTCTTGCAGTTGGCAAGTCTCCCTGCTCCAGTCTTTGGGGCGACCAATGCCATTCCAAACAGGTGAAACGGCAGGGCCAGGCACCCCCCGCCACAGAGCCCTCATTGTGTGCTGAGGACAGGCAGGGCTCCGGGAGATGGGATTTTAAGGAAGGAGGGAACCTCAGAGCAGCCCAGTGTGAGAAGGGAAGCCCAGCACCTGCCTTCAGAGCCCAGTCTAAAGGAAGAGATTGTCCCTGTCCCGCAAAGCCCACACCCTGAGAACAAAGGGAAGATTCGCCTCAAAATGAAGATACGAACAAACAAAAGTGCCATCCACGTATATTAACTTCCTGGGACTGCTGTAACAAACGACTACAAACTTGGTGGTTTAAAACAACAGAAATGTATTTTCTCACAGTTCAGGAGGCCAGAAGTCCAAAATCAAGGTGTTAGCATGGCTACAACTCCCTTTGAAGGCTTGAGGGGAGAACCCTTCTTTGGGTTCTGGTGGCTTTTTTTCCGGCTTCTGGTGGCTCCTTGTGTTTGCGGGTTTGGGGCAGCAGAGCTTCGATCTCTGCTGCCGTCTTCACTTAGCCTTCATGTCTGTGTGACTCTGTTTCCTGTCTCTTAAAAGGATACTCACTGGATTTAGTGCTCACTCTAATCCAGTACAATCTCATCTCAATTCTTACCATAATTATATCTATAAACACCCTATTTCCAAATAAGTCACATTCTGAGGTTCCAGGTGGACATGAATTTGGAGCGAGACACTGTTTGACCTGCTACACTGTAACAGACCAGGAGCATATGGGGTTGCTGAGGCAGTGGTGAAAACTTACTGGAGAGATTAATGATAAGAAAATTTTAAAAATTTAAAAAATTTAAAAAACTTGCTGAAGAGACAGTTGTGGTAAGATGTGGCCGGAGCCAATCTGGGTGTAGCTTTTAGCTCAACTTTAAGTATTCTGGAGAGTGGGCAGCTGGGAGGCATGAAATTTGTGGGGTTCCTGTCCACACTGCCCCCCACCCAATTTCTCTGGCTCCTTCACACATAGACACCTGCTCTAGAAGAGAGCTCTCTCTTTTTTTAATCATTATTTTGAAATAATTTTAGACTTTCCAAAAACATTGCAAAAATATTGCAAGGTTCACATGCACCCTTCACCCAGCTTCCCCAACATGATCATACCACAGAAACATTGTGCAATTATCAAAATAAATAAATTAACATGGACCCCATACTATTAATTAATTATAGACTTCATTCAGATTTTACCAGCTCTTCCACTGATGTCCTTTTCTGCAGCAGGATCCAGACCAGGATTCCACATTCCATCAGTTGTCTCGTCTGCTCAGTCTTTTCCCTCTTTCCTTGCTGTTCATGACATTTCTGCAGAGTACTGGTCAGGTGTTTTGTAGAACATGCCTCAGTTTGGGCTTTTCTTATATGTTCTCATCATCAGATAGGTTATGTATTTCAGCAAGAAACCCACAGAAATGATGTTATGTCCTTCTCCGGGTATCATCTCAGGTATACAAGACGTATGTCGATGGGTCTTATTGCTGCTGATGTTAACTTTGTCCATTGGCTAAGGTGGTGGTTGCTGGGTTTCTCCACTGTAATGTTACTATTTTTCCCATTAAAATTAATAAGTACCTTGAGGAAGATACTTTGGGACTGTGCAACTATCCTGTTTCTCCTTAAGCTTTTACCCACTACTTTTTGCATCCATCAGTGAAGAGGAAGAGCTCCTGATGCCCACTGGGCCCAAGAGCTTCATTTGCCCTGGACTCCTTGAGGGACTGTAGTTTTTTAGGAGACAAAGAGGGGGATGGAGGCTTCAGGCCCAAGAAAGAACTCTTTCTTTCTCTCTAGCCCAGCCACAAAGCCAGGCTGGGCCTCCTCAAACCCTCTCTGTGCCCTAAGACTCCCATACCACTTCCCTTGAAGAGACAATGATTCAAGGTGTTTCTTTAATCACTGATGTCTTGAGTCTTTCCTACACCCCCTAAGCCCTGGGGAAAGGAGGCGGCAGTCAGGGTCCTCCCCATGTCTTAGGTCTGGAGAGGCTCATAGTCAAAAGACTGGTTGGAGCCCTCCTTGGGGTCTCCAACCCGCAGGGTCTTCCCAGGGCCAGGTTTCTCCTCCCTTCCGGGAAGATTCTATACCGCCTGCCCTCCCCTCCCCTCCACATGGCCCCTTCACTTTGCCCACCCCTCTGCCCACCAGTCCCAGCCCTGCTGTCTAGTGAGGGCAAAGTCTTCTAGAGCTGAGGGCTGTCCCTGCCAGAAATGACAGGCTAGGGCCTGAGCTGACCTGGACCTCGTCCTCAGCCACCAGAAAGACAGGACTGGTATGGGGGCAGAGAGTAGGCTGGCAGGCAGGACTGCAGGCCCAGGAGGCAACCGTAAGTCTGAAGCACCTCCTCCAGGCCCTGGGTCCCCTTTTCCCTAAAAAGCTTTGCCACCCGCGGGTTTCCCAAGCCGGCCAGCCTATCCACACCAAGTGTCCTTTGAGAGCCTGGGTTGACACAACAGACAGGCCCAGCCAAGTGCTTCAGTGTCCGTGGCCTTGTCTGAGACTGCCAGCTGCTGAAGCAGACGCAAAAGACGCTCTCATACTACAGATGCAGAAGGTTCAGAGCTTGAGGAAATTCCCCAGGTCCACAGCAAGGAAGCCGCTCCACCAGGATTCAATCCCAGCACTGCCTGGCTACAAGCTTCATTTTTCAATGACAGGTGACCTCCTGCCAAGAGTCAGTAAAACTCAGAGCCAAAAAGGGCCCTGGGAGTCATCTAAACCAGCCTCTTAACTTCACAGATGGGGAAACTGAGGCCCAGAGAGGGAAAGTTGCACAGCAGAGCCTGCTTCGAAAGTGCAAAATATTTAACAACTGTCAACCAGGAATGTGAGCTAGCAGAGTATGAACACGTGGGTGAAAAGATTCAGGATCACATTCAAGTTGCTAGGAACATAAGCAGTTAGGTGGCCAAAGGCCAGCAACAAATGGGCAACAAATGGAGCTAATTGTCCATTAGCTCCCTGCTCAGGCAAAGTCAGGCTTAAGTTCTCCAGCCAATCACCCTGGGCATCAGCTGCAAACTGAGCTCCACCCCCACCAGCCTAGTCCTCTCAGTGACCCCTACAACCCTACCCATCTCCCAGCCTCCGCCTGAATTTATACTTCCGTCCTCTCTTCCTGCCCAAATCCCTCCTGTTCTTAAAAGCTGAGCCTCAGTTCAACACACAGATTTGAGATATAATTTCTGCAGACTGCGCAGCATTAAGTAGATGCTCAATGAAAGACAGTGAAAAGGGATAGAGAGAAGGAGAGGTGAGTAAGGGAAAGATGATAAGGCAGTGGGGAAGGATGGAAGGATGGACGGATGGATGGATGGATGGATGGATGGATGGATGGATGGATGGATGGATGGAAGGTTAATAGATGGATAAATAGAGAAAAAAGTAGAAGGTGGATGGACAGTGGGTGGGCAGGGGGTGAAGGTTAGATGGAACACAGAGAAAGGACAGTCATCCCACCCATTCCAGGATGGACAAGCATCCTAGAGAAGTTCTTAACTTAGCTGCACCCTGACAATGAGTAGATGCTAAACAAGCAAAGAAAGTGAGGAAGGACATCCTATTTGCTCAGGGAGGCAGAAGAGGAAAAAGCAGGGAGGAAGATGCTGCCATGCCTGTGTCCTGGGTAGGGATAGCATTGGCTCAGATCTCTCCTCTCTGGAAATCCCACCCCACTACCTCTGACCCCCTTTCTCCACGGCCTCTGTGGTCTGTGCCGCCTCCATCAGAGCTTATTACACAGTGTCTCTCGAATCACAGGTGTTTAGCATGTTCATTTACTGTAACTAGTCTGATGGGGGAGACACAGCCCTTACCCTTGGGGTGATCCAGCCTGATGGGGAAGGGCAAATGAGCCTACAGCCTTCTCTACTCTGTGGATTGAGGGGAGCCCAGAGCTAAGGAGCCACCAGGTGGGGTGGGTAGTCCACGGAAGTCTTCTTGGAAAGGATGAGTTTGAGTCAGGTTTTCAAAGAAGGAAGAGCCGTGCGCAGTGGAGCCGGGAGAGGGCATTCCCAGGCAGGGGCGTGGCTGCGGGAACTCCAGCGCAGCAGTGAGTCTCCAGGGAAGTCAGTGCCTGGGAGTCAGAATGGCTGTCATGAGTCCCGAGCCAGGGGCTGGCAGCACAGAGGAGAAGGAAAAGCAGGCAAACAGGTCCCTGGGCAGTTCCAGCCTTGCATGTAGAAAGAGAGGAGTGGTTTCCACCAGTCAGAGGTTGGGGAGTAGATTCAGCGTCATGCAGCCCCCCACTCCCTGTCCCCCAGGCTGAGACACCACATGGGGCTGGGGCAGGAGCAGGGCCCTCCAAGGAGTCAGACCAGGGCTCCACTCTGGGCTCCCCACTGACCAGGTATACGACTTTGGACAAGTCCCTACAGCCCTCCAAGCCTGTTCCCTATCAAACAGGCATAATAACAGTTCCTGCTTGTTGGATTATTACGAGAACTAGATAATTCATGGCAAGTGGCCAGCATGGTGCTTGGCAAGGAACAAATGTTTGGTGAAAAGTTCTTCCACATTTAGCTCTAGAGTTTGACTAATGGGGGCACAGGGGGTGAATTCAAAAGGAGAGTAAGTATCCAACTACAGGCAAAGACCAAGACAGAGAACAGAGTCCAGGACAGTGCTGGGGGCCGGAGTGACCAGGAGGAGGGCGGCCTCGGAGGAGCTGCTGAGGCCAGCGGGCTGAGGTGATGAGCCGGTGAGTCGGGGAGGGCCTGGCTGGGGTGGGGCATGTGGGAGCTGGCAGGACAGTTTGGGTGTGAGGGGAGCAGGCATGGGAGCTGGCAGTGGGGCCTGCGTTCTGAGGCTGGAGGCCCAGCACTGCGCCACCCCCCTGGCCTGGGAGGGAGGAGTGGGGAAGCAGTAGCTCTGGTGTTCCAGGGAGGCCCAGAGACCTGGGCCAGCCCCCCAGCCGCTCAGCATCACCCAGGGCCTGGTTCCCCAGCCCCAGCTCTCAGTGCAACACAGGCAGCAGCTACACAGACACACACACACACACCATTTCTATGTCATTCACTTCTAAAAGAGGTGGCTTGGGCAGCTTATAATAAAAACACACATGTAAAACAAATCTGGTTCCCCAGCCCCAGCTCTCAGTGCAACACAGGCAGCAGCTACACAGACACACACACACACACCATTTCTATGTCATTCACTTCTAAAAGAGGTGGCTTGGGCAGCTTATAATAAAAACACACATGTAAAACAAAACTAAATATATCCTGTAAGGGTCAAACATAAATAAATCAAGAATTAGTAATAGAGTATGTTGATGAGCACATTTTATTTGCAACCGACAACCCAACTTGCTTAGCTTCAGGAAGAGGTAGTGTACTGATTCACTGTTGTCTCTCTTTCTCTCTCTGTCCCTCTGTCTCACACACACACACACGCTCACACACCTCTGCCCCTGCCTTGCCTCCTGACTTCATTTTACAAGCCAAATACCTCCAACAAGCTTACAGACATAGCTGAGGCAGCCCTGAACTCACCCTCTAGCCTCATGGACAGTGAGAATGAGCTCAAATTTGAAAAACCCCACAGAAGACTTCTACATAGCCTCAAGTGGCCAAGTGGCCAGTGACTAGATTCCTATATGACCAACCCAGCAGGCACACATGTCCCACCCAGACCCCATGACCAAGGAAAATGAATCTGAAATCAGAAGAAGAGATTTGGACCCAACCTTTATGAATTAAGAGGCCACCCTAATGTGTGTCTACTCACAAAAGGGAGGTGGCAGTAATTCTAGAAAAGAGGCTGCTATACCTGACATCTAGCTTGGGGCTTCCTAGCAGCCATGACAAAAAGGGAAACATGATGAAATATGAAACTCACTGACTAAGAAGGAGGCACTTCTGGCTATCCAGGGAGACAAACATCTTCTAAGATCTAGAGCTGAGAAGAATCTGTCTTTATAGATCCTGAAGGACATTAAGGGTTTCTGTTTGCTAAGTCCTGCCCTATCAGGCATGCTGCTGGCACAGCCACTAACGTTCTCACTTAATCCTAACATCCCCTGGGGAAATTGTTATTATGTCCATGTTACAGACTTTGAGAGGTAAAGATAGGAAGCTCCCTTGCACCTCAGTGCCCAAGGGCTGAGCCCCTCCAGCTGCCCCTGAATGGGCAGGTGCCCCAAAGGCACTAAGGTACCCCATAAAGCCAGGTCCCTGGCCCTGGACGTATCATGACCTTCCTCCTGTAACCGCAAAGCTATGCCCACTTCTCCTGGGCCCTTACCATCCAGATTCCAACTGTCAGCAAAGGAGGCTTTTGCCTGAGGGCCTCTCTGGCCACCAGCACCGATTCTGTCTGGGCACAGGGCAAGCTAGAGCACTGGAGGTCACACCACTCCCCTGCCTGAGAGCACCCTCAGCCTGTTGGGATTGGAGGACCAATACCCCAGCTCTCTGGTCCCTTGGGCAAAACTCTGAGGTGCAAGGTCTTTGCTATCCCTCTGAGGGTGGAGCTACAGATGCCAACCGTATCCACATGCTGGTGACACGTCCCTTACGGTCGCCTTTCCTTCCCTGCCTCACCCACCCACTCCCTCATGGTATTTCCTGAAAGACACCACCCAAAAAGCTGCTTGCACTTGAATTTCTGTGTACGGGTTTGCTTCTGGAACCCCAACTGAGACACCTGAGTTTTTGAGTTTTAACTATGTAAGCCAGTTGTTACTGTAAATATTTAACTACCAGCTAGCCAGGGGGAGGGAAATATATGTACTTATACATAATATATATTTTACTAATATGTAATATATATTTATTCACATAAGTGACATTAACATACTTTGTATGATGCATTTATTTAAGGAAATCCTTGCCATCTGACAGAGCTTTATGATGTTGCTTAACATTCCATAGTATGAGTGAGTCACTATTCACTCACCAGTACATGACTGATGCCTGTCACTTTGTTTTCCATTTTCGGTCACTATGAATAATACAGGGACTAATGTCCTTCCACTGATGGCCTTTTATACTGGTCTCTTATTTCTCTTAATTTATTCATTTAATACTGAATTCCCTTAAGAATCTGAAAATCATCTTTGCCATGTACTCATACATAATGAGGAGCCCGGGAGAATATAATGCATGGGAACAGAACAGTGGGTGAATGTTTTTGTTTATAATATTTCTGTTTATGTGGTCACAGTAGTCACATGGCAAATAAAAGCTGGGAGAGACAAAACATGTCTGTTTTATTTGTAATGGTCCTATAATCTTAGGAAAGAAAGAGGCCCCTGGGCCCAGCAATGTGTTAGCAGGAGCCAAGTGGGGACTGGATGCTCTGCCTAGTCAGCTGCCATCTTGGCTCTAACACCCTTAATCTTCTCAGAGTCCTTCAGGGGTCCTGGGCGGTTGGGGAGACGAGAACGCAGGGCACTATCCAGCTGCCCCTGGTGGGGACCACTCATCACATCGGAGGAAGGTCCAGATGAAGCACCCAGGCCCTCACGGACAGGGCTCCCATCCCTCCACGGCTCAAAAAGAGACTGGCTTTTCCTTCCACGAAGCCCATCCGTACCTACCCCTATGGTGGCCACTTTATACCAACGTGACAGGAGGTACTTGCAATCCAGACAGCCTGTCCTAAAGAAACTTGCTTCTCAGAAGATTCCATGGAGACCTGAAAGAGCAGAGATATCCACACCAAAACCATGGCTTACTCCACAAATCTTTACTGAGTGTCCCTTACATGCTGGTGCTGCCCAAGGGTTGTCAGGGACAAGGAAAACCAAAAGCTTCATTTGTGTTTATGGCTCAAAGAGCTCTCAGAAGGTCTGGGGCAACAAGCTCCAGCGGCTTGCAAGGCAAACATAAAGAATCGCTTATCACAGACACTAGGAGGGATGCTGCTCTTGATAGTTCTGAGACAATGGCCCAAAGAAAGCAAAACCTGACAAGCTTACCACCACTTCATTGACATCAGCAGATGCACTTTACGGGCTATCATTAATTCTCACTCTAACCATTGTTTTAGCACTTAATGCAATTATCTTCTAAAACAGTATTTCGCAAACTTTGACACTAACTCAAGCATAAAGAATCTGAGGGTGTGTTCAAAATACCAAGGAACATTCGAGAGCCCTCAAGCTCCTCAGCTCAGGTGCCAGGATCTCAGGAAGTGGGAAAGGCCAGCCGTGAGCAAAATGCAGTCTTATTGGGAATTTAATCTTAGGGTAAAATATCCTGGCAGAAAGGCATTTCCAGATGGAAAAGCTGGTTCCCTTGCTGAAGGGAAAACACATTTTTGTTTTCATATTATCCTTCTTTAAAAGGGGCTCGTGTTTTGCATCCAC